GGTTGGGCGAGAGGTGTCTATACCGTGTTTAAATTCTACGGGGAAAACTGTGAGAGGGCACAGGAGCGCGAGCGCGAGCTTGAAGCGCGGGTGCGGACTTCAGTCGCGTGCGACGCGCGCTCTCAGCCGGTTTACGATGTTTCTCAGCAGATTGACTTAACGCGATTGAATATGAACGCGAACGTGAAAGACGCGCGGGTGGAACTGAACGTCCGCGTACGACTTGCCGGCACTTGAGAAACTTTTACGATGAAAACGAAACGGAGTATCGTTACCGCGCGACAAATCGCCGTGGAACGAAAGCAATAACTGGTACCGACGAGACAAACGGGAGAAATAAATCGTGGATCGTATTACAGCGATAAAATGCGGCGCAAAAGACAGATTTGCGATCTCGCCGATAACGCATCGGGAAACGCGTCACCGGCGACTTTTGATCGCGCGGAGTCAAAGTTTGTTGAGTTCGAATGAGACGGAGCGCGATCTGCGCGATGCAATTTGACTGAATGATGTATACCTCATTATTGACGGATTTGTGCCGGTCGAGAAAATTGTGATTAAAGCTTTACATAGATAGAAATTGTTGAAAAAGAGAAGGGGAAGAAAGGAAAGAGAGAAGAAACCTGGAGGAGAAAAGAAGGAGATGCAAGGCGGAAAGCGGAAATAGCGCTTCGCGGACGATAATATTTATTATCGAATCAAGAAGTGCAAATTCTTCGACTTTGAAAAGTCAGAAGTAACTAATGTATCGCGTCTGACTGTCTGTCTCTGTTAATTTGATAAAACTTATCAGTCCAAAGTTACGTCCTTATCTGATCTTTTCTTTTTCAAAACGGAAAAAATTCACGGAAGTCGTAATCTCTGACCGATTAAGTGGAAACGATTTATGTCTGTCAATACGACTCGATGTTTTAGTATAACGTTTCAGTAGTAAATGTTTATTACATTTTTGCCATCGATTATCGTCAACGGATTTAAGTAAAAAAAAAAAAAAAAAATTAGGCGGAAATTAAGCGGAAATTATATAGATTTTTTTATCTCGCCTTTTGGAAATTATCGATAACTATGAGGGACAAATTTACATTCAGCGTGAGTATTACTTATACGTACATTGTATAATTAATTTTTATGCTTTTTAATATATCTGTCGCGATACGATGGGCAAATTGAAGAGAAAGGGAAAGGGAAACGTGAACGGCTAATATTTGGTTTGCAACCATCAAATATGAAACGAAACGCATGTAGACGACTATCATTCGGGAGAGACCGTAGGTCATATAGATTGCGGCATATTCTCTCTTCTATTTATTGTTAGAGCCAATCATATCGTCTCGCGCGCACTGTGCGCGAGCTCGCTTGAATTTACTATTGCCGTACTTTTGCCGCTTTACACTTTGTATTTATTTTACATGGTATTTTATATAAGATTTACACGGAGAATATATATCGGCGTGCGTTGAAAGTGAAATACGATGTGCAACGTGCATTATTTACATTCCGTAGATGATAGAGATGAATCCTTGTTTGACGTTAATTTACAGTCGGGAATGCCGGACATGCACGAGACCCTGTCTAGCTTCCCGGAACAGTTTGGGGATGGCCCGAGAAAACCGGAAATAAAGCCGGAAATTCCGAAGGAGACGGATAGGACCGCGGACAATCTGAAATGCGGTTGGTTCTGGTTCAGGCCAATTTACTTGCAGAAATTTCGCACCGCGAAATGGGCGCTGTTCTGGTTATGCTGGGCCGGGGCTATGCAAGGTACGTAGTTTAATGGCTTTTCGTCGTGCAGAGATCATCACCCAGCGCGAGCTTTATCGCGAAAATTTATCAATAAGTCTATTAGCGCCGCCTGAAGCGAGATTTTTTTTTAG